TCCCTGAAGATCTATTATATTAAATATTGATGTATTATGCTGAAATTTTATATTCTTTTCCAAATACATGATGGCTAAAGTAGAAGACAAGTTGAATTAATTCCATTTTTTCTATCTTATGAGTTAATAGAGCCTATAAAACACACACACATATACACATACACACATATGACATATAAAGATAGGAAACTGAGGACAGTTTGGTAAAAATTATGATTAGATTGTGTTAAATGTATAATATGACAATAGTTTTCATGTTATTTAAAAATTTGGTCAATAATTCAGAGTTTCTTTAAAGAATGATTTCAGGTGAGTCTCTAGAGCCTTATTAATATTTGAGTCTTTAGAACTAAAAGTTTCAATGTAGTTGACAAGGCCGCTCCATCTTTATTTGAGCATGCAGCAGCCCATGAAAAAAATGTCCAAGCCAACAATAGTTCTAATGTAAATAGAATTGGCCTTTACAGACAATGCAGGTCATTTAGACAAAACTGGGATTTTCAATTGCCCTTTAAGTCGTTCAGTAAGGTACTAGTGAAATTTAGGAGTAAAATTTGACTTCCCTAGTTTTCAGGATGGCAATACCGTCTTAGGTCCAACTATGTTTATATTTGAATATCTTTTCATCTATTCTGGGAAATTACCAGAAGTGAAAGTAAATTTTCCAGAAGAGAAACACTTGATTTCCTCATTTTGTGTGTGATTATTTTCTTAGGACTAGTTTCTTAGGATACTTTGCAAAACTTTTTGCAAGACTAAATTAAATATAGGACAAAAATAGAATTAAACCTCAACATTCATAACTTTTTCTCAAGATGTGATTTGTTTTCAGGGAGGCTTTTTAATATTCAAAAAAGGCTGCAACTGTATCTACAAATTGATATATTTAGTATCTCAGCTTGAAACTATTGTTCATTATTTTTATATGCATATATGCATAACCCATGGACACTGGCAATAGTGTGGTGAAGACCCAGAGGGGGTGAATGCTGGGTGTAGGGGGGGTCAATGGGGGAAAAGAGGAGGAACACCTATAACACTTTCAGCAGTAAAGATAAATTTAAAAAAAGAGAATGCTTAACATTTGGAGGGTTTCCGGGAGTTGAAGATATTCTGGTAAACATTATGATTAAATTGTGTCTTAGAGCAAGAGCCAACTGTCCTCTGCTTTGGACTATTTCTGTGGTCCAAAGCAATTGAGTGCTGATAGAAGCAATACAAAATGCTTCTCATAGAATACGAAGTAGCCTCCAATACAAATAAGCCTGTGTAGACAGTGTCCACTCAGAAATGCTGCTTACCTGTAATCTTTACAAATGACCATTTTTTTTTAACAAAAAGGAATATTTTGGAACAGTTGAGCCCACACACTTGAATGGAATGAAATATGTCTATATATCCTAAAATTATCTTACAGATATTTATATATCCAAGTGTGTTTTTTATAAACTTTGGGACAAATGAACAAACAAGAAAATCAAAGAAACAAAAAAATTATAGACACAGACAGCAGTATGGTGGTTACCAGAGGGAAGGGGTATGGGGGGGCAGTTAAGAGTAAAGGGGGTCAAGTATATGGTGACAGAAGAAGACATGACTTTGGGTGGTGAACGCATAATGCGATATACAGATGGATGTATCATGGAATTGTACACTTGAAACCTATATAATTGTATTAACCAATGTCACCCCAATAAATTTTAATTAAAAATTTAATTTTGAGATCCTGATGTAAATTTTTTCTCTTGTCGCTAATTAACTAAGATACTCATGATCAGTGCAGTCGTCAATAGTGTTTATTTTTATATATCTTAGTTTTTCCTTTCTCTTGCATCTTGTGAGCTTTCTGCTAGCATATTCTATGTGGTACTGCAGTGGGATAGATACATAACTATCCAAGAAATTTAAGGGGATTTTTGTTTGTTTTTTTTTATATCTTTATTGATTTCAGAGAGTGGAAGGGAGAGAGAGAGAGAGACAGAAACATCAATGACGAGAGAGTCATTGATCGGCTGCCTCCTGCACGCCCCCAACTGGGGGTCAAGCCTGCAACCCAGGCATGTGCCCTGACCGGGAATCGAACCATAGTCTCTTGGATCCTAGGTTGATGCTCAATCACTGAGCCAGGCCCTGCTGGACAAGAAATTTCAGTTATTAATTGGTCTTTTCTTAGGACTTTTTCCTATTGTTCACTCAACTACAGTCTTATTTTTCGAAAAAGCAAAAGACATTTTTAACAGTACGTTCTGCCAAATTCTTTTTATTAGAATAATTGTATGGTTTTGTACAAAGAATTCCTCCTGCATTTTTGTTTTCTCTGCCTATGGTATTTCTTTGACTCCTGCTGATGGTAAAAAGAACAGTGCGTTTTGTATTTGGAGTGATCCTTTGTAAAGCAGTGGCACACTTCCCGTATACTGCTGTTAAATGTTCCTCCAGCAACATTAGGTGAACTATACTTGCCCATTGGTTAGATGCATAAACCTTTCCCATGCTGATTAATTTCCTTTGTGACAAATTAGGGAGGAAGTCTGGCAGTTCTCAAGAAAGGCTGGAAAGTTGGAGGAAGATGTCAAGAGGTTTGAGGTCATTCATTTGACCTTTTAAAGCTTTCCTTTAACTAAGACATCAATAAATAATATATGAGACGACTCTTAATGGAAGATAGAATTTTAAAAAAATGAAATAAAATTTCAACTCCCACATGTATCATTTATGAGGAAAAAATGAAACAGAAACATATATTCATCTAGTAGTGGAAGGAGAATGTGTTTTTAAAGTTTGAGCTTGCTTCAAGTTCATTATTAAATTATAGCAGAATTCCTAGTAAGTCTGCAACATATTTGCATAAGTATTAAAATAATTCATCATGATTAATTCTATTATAGTAAACCTCACCCTTAATCACAATCTGCCATACACTGCACTGGTTTGTCAGCAGTTCATATTTTCCTAGAGTTTTGGTGGAACTGCAGCCCCTCTAACAGCACGGGTGTCATCTGAGTTCACCTTGATTAATGCGCTTTGGAAGGAGATCTAATAACAATTAGCCAGTTCCATAAAGTGCTACCAAATCAGGTTGGTGGGAGAAAAATTTTAAAGCTCTTCAATAGGTACATTCTAGCAAGTACCTCTGGTGGCAAATTGGATTTCTCGGGAGAGGAAGGGGTTTAACCTTGGAAACAGCTGAACTACTAGGGCAAAGTTGGGAAAAGGGGACAGTAACTTGCCTTCAAATAGTTAATGGGTCAGAAGAAAGCAGGGCAAGTCTAGAAATAACGGTTGAAAGTTATGGGGAAGTGGATATCAATCTGGGCTTCTTGGCTTCAATAGGCCCAATGAGGGGTGAAGCGTCCTGTGACTAGGAGTATTCAGGTAGAGACAAGATGCAGACTTATGAACATATTGCAAAATATTTTTTGAGCGGTTCAGGAGAGAGTTCTCTTTAGGTAATTCTGAATTCCTTTTCAGCTATGAGATTCCATAAATTAGTTTCCTTAGTACGACAATACATTTCTTATATTTTTCTTAGATTTTGGTGGAGGCTTCAGTGGGAGATGGCTTCACGGGAGACATTGCAATTGATGATTTGTCATTTATGGACTGTATCCTCTATCCTGGTAAGAAATAATATTTCAATATACGATTATTTTCAAACCTGTTTACTTAAAAAAACCTGCCAAGGAAATCAACATTTAATTTCAACAAATATTCCAAAATACTCTCAATTCTATTATTTCAAATATATTAACCCTGGAAGAGATTAGTGTAAATCTTTGTTAGTAATTAATCTTAAATTCTTTGTAAAGATGGTAAAAAGGTTTGACTCAGTTGTGTTAATATCACATGCAAAATTTTAGGATATCATATCTGAAGTTAAACTGTAATTTCCTTATATTTGAGGGGTTTTAATAACCATATTGATTGTTTTGTAATTACATTGTTTTGGAGACTTTATTAACCTCTCAGATACCTTCAGAGATGTTTTATTCTCAGACTACACTTATATATTCCTAAGCATTGTTGTCAATAATTTTCTCTCCATGTTATAGATTTTCCATTAAAAAACTCATACATGTTTCCCAGATATATCCAGGATGGGCAAAAGTAGGTTTACAGTTGTTTGTATGGAAAATAATACAATGATTAATAAATAATAATACAAGAATAAACTGTATTTCACGTATGTACAACTGTAAACCTCTTTTTGCCCCACTCTGTATATCTCTATTCTCAACATTTTCCTTGAACTGCAGATTTATATATTACCCACCTACTCAAAATCTCAATTTAGATTTTTAATAGGAATCTCAAAGGTAACTAGGGAAACTAACCTAAAACAAACACACCCCATTGGAAACTCATTCCAGTCTGTGCTTCCTGATCCAGCAGGACTAGATATCAAGCTCTTGGAGGATGATGCTGGCAGTGAGGCAGAAGGCTCTTAAAACACATGACAAGGGAGAGCATAGTCGTTATTTTGGAGTGATCAGAGGCTGGGTATTTAAACATCAATTGCAGCAATCCATGTAGAAAGCACTGCCAGGTGCTGAAAGCTCGAGCTCAGCCCAGCTCTGTCAGCATAGGACGTTACTGGTCAGAGGAGCACCGGCCCCTCCCCAGACACAATCAGAGGGCTGGATTCCAATTAGTTCCCTTGTAGCGACGTGACCTGGCTTTGATCTGTCACCTCATTGTCCTGGCAGGATTAATGACCATAACCACTCTGTGCAGGTGCCCACAGAACTTGGCAGAAAGCCAAGTCCCTCTCTGGAAGGCCAGCAAGAAGGAAATCAGCTCTGACTAAATTTACCCTAACTCTCAGTGTCTAAAAGTAAATACTTTTTAAAAAAAATATATCTTTATTGATTTCAGAGAGAGGAAGGGAGAGGGAGAGAGAGAGATAGAAACATCAATGATGAGAGTCATTGATCGGCTGCCTCCTACACGCCCCCCACTGGGGATCGAGCCCACAACCCCGGCATGTGCCCTGACCGGGAATAGAACCCCGATCTCCTGGATCCTAGGTCGAGGCTCAACTGCTGAGCCGCGCCCGGCCAGGCTAAAAGTAAATTCTTGATCCCCACCTGCCCTTCAATTTTGCCATTCCTCCATGGCTCCCTATCTCAGTAAATGAGTTTATTTCTAGTTACTTATCCTTCATTAACAAATCTGGTCCGCTGCTGGCTTCAGATATATCAGGAGTTCACTCCTTCCCTTCGTTCTCACTATTCCCCCCTTGGTCCAGGCCCCCACTGGCTCTGAATAGATTATTACAATTGCTTTTTAAGTGATCGGCCTGCTTTGACCCTTGAACCATATAAACTGTCCTCAAAACAGCAGCCAGAATGATTTTTTTAACTTAGATAAGATCATGTCACCCTGTCATTAAAGTTTTCCTATGACTATCCTATGTCATTTAGAGCACAAAAAGCTGAACTTCTTCCAGTAGCTTCCAAGGAATAAATGACTGGCTCCCCTCTACATCTCTGACTTCACTTCTCACTAGAGTGCCTCTAATTGACGTCTCTCAGCTATAAGGGCTCTTAACCAATCCTTGACCACCCCCACTCTTTACACCCGCTTTTCCCTCTTCCTGGAATGTGCTTCCCCCAGATATCCACCCATCTTCCTCCTTTACTTCTTTTTAACCTCTAATCAAAGGTTTCTCCCTTAGTAAAACCTCTGAGCACTACGCAATCACAGACACACAGACACACAGACATACACAAACACAGACATAGGCACAGAGTCTCTTCCTTATTTGATATTTTCTATCTCCTCTCCCTGTTACTGTTTTATACCACATCTCCCCTCTTATAGCTAAATTTCTATCTTCCCCCCCAATAACGTGAACTGCATGAGAGCATGAACTCCACCTGTTCCCTGTCTTATCTCCAGCACCTTCAACAGTATCTGGCACATATACATGGAGCCCTCAATAAATATTTGTTGGTTAGATGGTGTATAGAGATATGTCTATATCTTCTTAAGTATTTATATACTTTTGTTATATATTTTAGTTTATTATTATTATTATTGCTAAAATATTAAGTACTTCTACATGCAAGAAACTATGTCATGTATCAGTCAGTTTTTCTTGAAAGCCAAACTCAGCTACTTACAACCACAAGCATTTATTTCTTGTTCTTAAGTGTTGATTAGTATAAAAAAATAAGAGCAAAAATATATATTTTTTGTATATAGCTCTGCATATTCTATGTAGCTCTAAGCTATGTGTCTCTGTTCGTGTGTCTTATGTATCGGGATCCAAGGCTGAAGGACCAAGTCCCTATGTGACACCTTCTGTTGTCAAAGTAGAGGGTGGGAGAAAGAGAGCATACTTAAAGCTTCCACTGGGGCATGGTGTGCATCGTGCCTGCTTATGTCCACTGGTCAGAGCAAGTCACAGTGTCGAGTCTAAAAATGGGACAGGGAAGTAGTCTCCAGTGACAGGGAGCTTGGCACGGGTAGGGAATATAAAATGGGCACAGTTATGCAACCTACCACTCATATGTATCATCTCACATAACTCCATAACCTTTTAAGAGTCTAGAATAGTGCCTGGTTCATAGTTGCTGAATAGATGTTGAATGTTGAGTAGGATTGATGGCTTTTTTATCTCAATTTTATGGAGCAAACTGAGGAGATACCCTGCTATGATAAAGTGGCAGAATATGAAGTCTGCTTCCTTGGACCATAATGTTAACCACTGTTATTATTATAATGCTCATTACATCTATTGACCTAGAAAAGGAAAGAATACAATTTCCATTTTACAGCTGTGAAAAATTAAACTTAAGATGCTTAAGTGACCTGGAGGAGAATATGTAATTGAGGGCAGGAATGAGATTTTCACCTTAGCTTCTCTGATGTCAGTGGCAGGGATTCTCGCAAACCTTCTCCCATTCTGAGCTTAGGGGGAATCACCGAGACCTTGACCAGAGCAGCAGAGAACAACAAAGAATGCAGAAAGAAACACAGGCACCATTGACACTGTTGTTCCAATTATCCTGTTAAATACATTCTGTGGCTGATGGTTCCAAGGCAGAGAAAGAAGAGCTACCAGAAACAAAGGCAGAGATGTGAAATATCAGTTACAGACCATTAGTCCTGATATTCTGGTTCATGTTTCAGAAGAATGGAATTCTTAAAACCATCTGAACTGTGTGGTTTTAATGTTGGCTTCATAACAAAAGAAACTTTGGGTTGAAACCACAAAGCCTGTGGTAGCCATAGGTTTCATAAAGGAATTTGATATAATCTTACCATAAGATAAAAATAAAAATTAGGCTCTTAATAAAAATATTATTCTTGATGAAAAATTTTATCTGTGAGATCATGTTGGCTGAAGTGGGATCAGTGCATGTAGGTTATGTGCAGACATTGATTTGCTTTCAATACAAACTGATTGTCTACAGCATTTTCCTCCTTGGTAAATAAAACAAATAAAAACTGAAAAACATACACACAAAATATTGACCTAATCTCCAAAGTATGGATTTCTACATTACCTATAACTTTTATTTTATACTAAAACTTAAGAAGTGATTAAAAGAAGTAGATAATTTTATTTTTACCTATTTGCTTAAAATCAGCCTCTGTCTCCCTTGCCTTCTTTGTTTCTTTTAACGCCATCATTGTTCTCTAGCAGCTGGAGACTGAGGACTGGAATTCCACTGTATCCTTTGACTCTCCCCTTAAACTGGCCCACTTGCAAATCTAGCTGACTCCAACTCCAAAATATTTCTCACATTTGTTCTGTTTTTTCCATTAGCTCTGCCGTGATCATGATTCAAAAGTGTTGACTCGAATAGTAGGCTTTTTAACTGCAAACTTCTATTAATTTTTCCCTGTAGTGTTTATGTCATAAACAGTTTCGTCTCACTTTGTACTAGAACATCATTATTTGCTCTTCCAGGTCAACTCTTTCTTATTTTCTAACTTCTGGTTGTTTCTACTTTAATTTTCAAATCCATTCCCAATTATGGGTCATATTTCTTTTGTTTCAGTACTTTGATGATGTAGATTCTTATTTAAAAACTGATCCAGGAATATTCTAGAGAAATGAGTTTTAGGCAAGATAAATTACATTTCTAGGGAAAGTGGGTAAACTTAGCCATGTAATAGAGCCCTCTTATCCTGTGCATCAGTGTATGGTGATGTTGGCCATTCCCAGAGTAGGAAGTGATGGGGTATGATGTCAAGGTTAACTAGCTTTCCCCTCACCTTGGACTAGACCTTCAGAGTGCATTACTAAGTAAGATTGTTGCCAGACATTCAGATTTAAATATCAGTATCCCAAAGGAAGTATCTGTTTCACATTATTTTCTTTCCAACACAAGAAAAGCAAAAAGTATGTTCCCTTCAACAGATATATACAACAGTTTACTTGCAAACATCAAGGATTATTGGTGACTTAGCTGGGTTATTTGGAAAAATAAAGCCACGACTATATTGTATCATGACACACGGCTTGCAAGTTGAAAGAAGCAATTAATTGCTTATGCATTTTTCACTTAATTTAAAATTTCAGAATTCAGTATGTATGTTAGAATTTAGTTACTAGAAGAATTAATTGATAGAAAGAATTTCACTCTTCAAGATATCTAGTGTTTTC